CACTGAGGGTTGTGATCCGTTGCCGGTCACAAAAAAAGACAAAAAGGAAAAAAAAAAAAATTATTAATGAGATACTTTACACTCATTTTTTTGTACTAAGCTTTCTAAATCTGGTGTATACTTTACACTTATGCCACAGATCTAAGGTATTCTCCCTCCTCAAGTACCAAGGACTTAAACTCCACTGGTAAAAAGTTCAGTTAAGCAAAAAAACGAGAATGTCAGAATGAGGTATTTGCCCCAATGAGGCCAATATGTTTCCATAAATCAACTAAATTTTCCAACATTAGAGAGAAATGAGTTTCCTTGGTTCTTGGTTTGGTTTTTTTTTTTTTTTTTGGTGGTAGTGGTGGTTGTTTAAACATGTCTTCTTTCTTCTTAGACACCTCCCCAAACATTTCCAGCTACGACTACTTAGCAGTACTACTTGCCACCGCCCACCCCAAAACTGACCTCTCACATGACAGATGCTGCTTGGGCGGTGGCACATGTATGCTAAACACTACCTGTAATAAAAGCAGATTCTACATGCTGAAGCATTGTAACCATGGTGTGTATTACCTTCAGTAAGAAATCAAAGGCCATTAGATCTCTCTTACAATATTCACATTAGGGCCAAGTTAAAATCTGCCTCATAAACTAAAAGCATCATGATATGACTTATGTTTCTCAGGAACTGATTTGCACAGAAACCTGTATAATATGAGAATTTAATAGATTCTACTGCATGCAAATTTACTGAAACTCTAGACTTACATAATCCAGTATGATAGCCCCTGCACACATGTAGCTACTGAGCACCCAAAATGTGGCTGATTCAAACTGAGATACGGTGTATGTGTAAATACACACTGGATTTTGAAGACAGTGGGGAAAAAAAAAAGAATGTAAAATATCTCAATGTCAAAATGATAATATTTTGGATATACTGTATTAAATACATTATTAAAATTAATTTCACCCATTTCTTTCTAACTCTTTTAATGTAGCTCCACTAGAAAATTTAATATTACATATGTGACTTGCATTCTATTTGTCTTGAACACTGCTGCTCTAGACTATGTAACCAAAAAGCTGTGGTCCTCCTAATAAAGGATTTAAATAGTCACCTGCTTTTCATAATAAATTCCAGTGTCATAAATAATAGACTATTTAATCGCTCATCTTGAATACAAATGCAGAGCCATCACAGTCTGCTCCCTGAAGCTCTGAGTTAAAAACATAAAACCGCATCCCACTACATCTGCTCATAACACTGGGGTCATGCATGAATATTTGCACTTCAAACTAACATATCATAAAAAAAAATTGTAAGTTGTTGAAAATTATCTGACTCATTTCTAGTCTATAACTCAGAGGCTTTTCGTTGCTGCTGTTTTGGTGTTTTAGTTGGGGACAGAGTACGGCTAGCTAGTAAGTAGTACGATAATTGTGCTGTTTCTTAAACCAGAAACCACTTAGTAGTTTTTCCATAAAATTAAAGCACCAAGAATGACTGATTTTATGTTTTACTTCTTAGTCTAATCACTATAAGTAATATTGTAATAGCTATCCTACATGGAAAAATATTATAAATTAAAGCCAAGAGCAGGTAGTATTTTCAAGGAGGGCATATACTCAAATAGTCATCTTATAGGCTGCTTAGCTGCAAACGATGTTTAACTAACAGCAGACACTGGGCAATCAGATCAAATATTCTTCACAAGAACAGCATATCCTTAAGAGATAACTAGCTAAACTGTCTAGGAAAACCATTTCCAACAAGCTTTGCTGTGATTGTTTTACTGGAAAAAATTTGAGACAGCCTACTTTATTTCACAATCTTAATTCTAGTTTTTTCAAATTACAAGTTACTCCAATAAGTTCTAACTAAAATATTTCTTATCTACAAAATAATTCTAAACCTGTGATTTAATAACCACTTAATCGAACCCCAGATACACAAAGTGATATGTGTAACAATTTGAGTACCAAATACCATTCTGGGTACACAGGAGAGAAGCCAACTCATTTCACACTGCGGCTGGCTAGGGCATTACATAGGGCTTAATTATCTCAAAGTTTTTACTGGGCTTAGGTTAGCAGATGGTAGATGCTAGTATATAAAGGAAAGGTAACTGTGATCCTGTTTTCTAAAACTGAAGAGAGAAGAAAAATAAAAATGAAACAGCACATCACCGGAGACTTTCTGGACTTTTCAAAACAGAAATTTCTTAGCCCCTTGGGGATAACCTACCAACAACAACTCATAAGGCAAACAACTATTGTCTAATGGGGAACTTTTTGCTTTAAAGATCACTAAAAAAGTTTGTCCGAAATCACAGTTCTCTTTTATATATTCCAGTCTAAAGAAACCAAGGGATATGTTGAGAAACACAGTCAAGATCAGTTACAAAAGAGATTAATGGGGGCTAGCCAGTTAGCTCAGTTGGTTAGAACATGGTGTTATAACACCAAGGTCAAGGTTTCAGATCTCCATACTGGCCAGCTGCAAAAAAAAAAAAAAAAAAAAAAAAATGAGTTAATAGTATTAATACAGCATCATATTCTTTTAAAGCTATTATACAGTAAACATTTCTCTATGAGAAGAGATTTTTGTTTAAAGCCACAAAACAACTACAAATGCTCTTCAACTTACAATGGGGTTACATCCCAATAAACCCATCGTCATCATAAAGTAAAAACTCATAAGTTGAACCACTGTAAATCAAGGGACCATCTGTATAATCTTACTAAACCCATTGAGGGCCACAAAATTTATTTGCACTTGCAAACTCTCATTTATTTATTCTCACCATACCACATGCCAAAAATAATCTGAGGTGGCTGCAAGCTTCTCAAAGTAGATTAGGAAGGAAAAAAATTAGAAAAAGAAAAGACAATTAATGCTAGAGAAAAACATTCAACCTTCATGAAATTTTCATTGTAGGATAAATGGTGTAATGGATGGCAGTGGGTACACACGTATGTACTGTAGCTTTAACTGTTTAGCCATTCATAATTACTCTAGACATTAAAGCTTTGGAATTTCAAATAAATGATAATCAAAATAAGTACACCTACATAGTAAACATACACAATTTCATTGCTTATAAGTACAAGTAGTACTTTTATAAGGTTTAAGACTAGATATTTGCCTTTACAGTAAGAAGTCTATATATAAACTTAGTTTTGATTTCCTAAAAAGACAAAACATTAATACCTGAATGCCCAATCTGAAACAAATTACTACAATTATTGTAATGTTCAAATATGTTCAAGTACAAGTAACAGAATTTCCTTGTGAAAATGAACAGACATATAAGAGAACCTGAATTTTAATTCCTTACTAATATTGAGATAGGATGTACTCAGTTTCCCTGGGTTTGGACACACCTCTGGGTTTCACGCCACTCCCCAAGGTCTCAAGCCCCTCTTCAGGCCCTCCCCTAGAGGAGAGGTACTGTTCCTAGTTAGACCTATTTCCAGCACCAACCCAGGGAAATTGAGACTTCAAGGGGGCTGGCTCATGCAAATCCAGTGGCTGGGCATGCTCAGTAGAGAAGGGTTACATAATGCTGGTCACCAAGAATGCTCAGTAAAGTGGAGTTTATCCCTTGAATGACCTTCCGCTAGAGGTGCTAAAGAGCACAGAATATTCTTGAATATATCTGCTGCATGTG